ATGTTGGGCCCGTACATCGCACGAGCTTTCCCTTCTAGTAAAGAAAATAAGAGGGAGAAAAGAACAAATAAGCACTGAAAATAATTTAATTGGTAAGAGCTGATAGAGAAAATATCACGTGGTCATAGTTTTTGGGTAAACTTTAAGGGCCCGTTTGACCATGCGATATGAAATCATGATATGGTATCATAATACGGAATCATGAGATGAAATTGAAGTTTTGTTTGGACATGCGATGTGAAATTTTTGTGTTATATATTTTCTCATACTCATAAGAATCACATAAGTTGTAAAACTATTAAAATAGCCCCAAATGTTTATTCAATCTTACCAAATAAACAAAATTTTATTTGGTAACATAATAAATTATTACAAAGCTATTTGTTTCCCACTTAAGTAATTGTTTCATCAAACTTTAATTCAATAAAAAAAAATTGAACATAAATTGTAGTGTACTAGTCTTTAATATAATCCTCCCACATAGTACGGATAATTTTCCTCACGTTGAACTTGCATTTTTCGATCATGTGACTGAGAAGACGAACCAACATTGTTACTTTGAGCCATTTGTTGGTCAATATCATCCGCAACTATATTTTCATGCTCATAGACCATAAATATTTCTTCAGTACTTTGGTATTCTCGCAAATAATTATGTAACACTGCACAAGCTGTGACTATTTTTACTTGTGTATCAATATCATAATGCTTCATGCCTTGTTTCAGTATTCTAAATCTAGTTTTCCAAGCTCCAAAAGTCCGTTCAATCACATTGCGCAGAGATGAATGCCTATAATTAAACAATTCTTTGACATTTTGAGGCTCTCTTTCACTTCCTCGGTAATCTTGCAAATGATAGCGTAGTCCTTTGTATGGAGCTAAAAATCCTTTTGTGTTTTAGAAACCAGCATCAACAACAAATATGGAATTTTTGTGTTGTATATTTTCTCATAAACATAAAAATCACATAAGTTGTAAAACTATTAAAATAGCCCCAAATGTTTATTCAATCTTACCAAATAAACAAAATTTTATTTGGTAACATAATAAATTATTACAAAGCTATTTGTT